GGAGAGCCCCCAGCAGCCCAGCCCTGTCTATCAGTATTGTAGCGGAAATACAATTTTTTTTAAAAAAGCACCAAACCCTTCAAATGTACGAAGAAGAAAGCAACGTAAGCGGTAAGGGAACCGAGCAGCCCCCTTCGCTGCGGCTCTGAGTAAGAGGAGAATTGTCGAAGGCCTGGATGAAGTGCTACAACTCGCACACGCACCGGAGGGGCTGACAACTAATTATTTCTGAAATCCTCCGCCATAATTTTACAGGCAAGCTCTGCAAAAGGCCCCCCTCCAGGAGCCACCCAAACAAACAAACACCCTTTCTAAATGAGGCAGCGCACCAGAGCAAGGCCGTGACAAAGTGAGACATCTCAACTCTATGGATGACTCCATTTTGGAGGCTGGGGATGGGGCGGGGGAGGAGGAGCAGCAGCCAAGACTTTAAGGGGGGGAGAGAGGGGAGCTATGAAAAGGTCGGCAACAGGCTGCAGTGGTGGGTTTTGAGAGGAAGAGGAGGAGACCGAACGCGGAGAAGGGTCTGTTCTGACCCAGTTCCCCAAACACGGCCAACCCTCTTGACGTGAACTCAAAAAGATTCCTCGATTAGGAATGCCGGCAGCCGCGGTACAAAAGTTTCTCTCGCAGGCTAACAAGTCCGTCTGGCCGGAAGATGAATAGTTGTCGGCCACATCTATTCATCTCCACCCCGTGCCTTTTCTCCCCAGAGCTAGGGTGGGGCTTTGCTAGCAGCAGAGGTTCTTCTGTTGGACCCGGCTGTTCCTCCTCTTCCTCATCAGCCACCTCCAGACCTGGGGGCTGTTGACTCTCCATCGGAGGGCTGACGGACGGACTAGGGTCCATCTCTCTCTCTCTCTCTGCCACCTCCGTTCTCTTTTCCCCCTCGGAGCTCCCAGGGTGCCCTGATGCTGACCCTGACTCCCACACCTCCTCCTCCTCTTCCTCCTCTGATTTGGCTGCTCGAGGGGCTGGCGGCTAACCTACCTACAACAGTGTCAAGGCGGACAAGTAAGCAGAAGAAACAGAAGACCCAGGAGACAACGGCTTTGTAACAGGATGCATGAAAGAGGCCTAACCGTTGATCTCATTACAGGCGGTTCTCGACTTATGACTGTAATGGACTCTGCCCATCCACAGGTCAGTCAAGGGATTGACCCGATTTTACAATGTTTTCTCTAGCGGTCATTGAGCAATGAAACTCTCGTAAGTCATAGGTTGGTGCAAACTGGTGTCAATGTGGTTGTGTTGTCGTGTCCAAACTTTGCACTTGTGACTGTGGGGGCAAAGGGGGAATCCGTCAGATCTTTGAATCCAGGCCTTAAGTGGCCCCAAGGAAAGTCTGTTGCAACTCACTCAGTGACCAGTCATAAGTCAAAGATTACCTGTATTTGCTTTTTCATTCCTTAGTCCTTAATCCGGCCAAAGTCCCAAAAGGTGTTTTTTCAAGACGCAACTGGATTTTTTCTTTCTTTCTTTTGGTTTTTCTTTTGAAGACGTTTCCCTTTTCACCCAAGAAGCTTCTTCGGCTCTGACTGGACGATGGGGAATGGAAGGATTTATCCTCCTTGCAGACAGCTGGTCATTTGCATCCTTTGAGAGGGTTGTTGAGGCCACTTGGAGGTTTATCTGTGTCCTCGGGGTCACCTGAGGGGTGCAAATGGGTGTGGAACCTTCTCGACTGCAGGATGTTTCCTGCCCCTTGTTGCTTCTCTCCGTCTCTTCTCTCAGTTTTCCATCCATTTTTTTTTTCTTGTCTTGCTTTCTGGCGCTTTGGGTACTAGGTTGACCCTCTGGAACGCTGCTATCATGTAGTCCTTCTTTTTTTTTCTAGACTGGACATACCCAGTTCCTATAAAATGTTTTGGCTTCCAGGCCCCTCAATCATTTTCGTTGCTTATCTTGACGGAAGAGCCCAATCGTTCTTCGAACCGAGCTGAGGCTGTTTTGTGTTTCATTCTCTAATCAGGTCACCGCACCGCGGTTTGTCTGCTGTGGGGATGTCTGTTCACTCCGCCCTCCTGCCAAGAGACTAATTCCAACCTGGTCTATTTCCTCCACTTTGGATTTCTCAGCCCACTTACCTGAATTCCCCTGGGCTCCGAAATGGGAGCATCCTGATTTCAGAGCCTGCGGCTCTCCCCAATGCGCTTCCTCCCTCGACACAGCTTCCCACCTGACCTTCGGGTCAACGCTTAAAAGGAGGGGATGGCGGGGATACGACAAGACAAGAAGGAAGCTAAAGGTACTGCGGGAGAGAAAGACCCGGAGGCTCACGTTTTCTAGAGCACAGCACAGAAATGGGAAGAGAAAGCCAAGCGCTAAGAGAAGAGAATCATCCGTAGCCAAGCTCAGAGAGCACCCGGGACCCCACAGTGAAAATCACTGTGGGGTCCCGGGTGCTCTCTGAGCTTGGCTCTTTTCTTGCAGACATTTCCTTGCCCAACTAGGTAACGTCATCAGTGTTAGAAGGGAGTGAGGTTTGTGGAGTGGAGGAGGAGGAGGAGGAAAAGGAGGAGGACGACTGTGGGGGTCCTTGGTGCTCTCTGACATTGGTTATTTTCTTGCAGGATGTTTCACGATCACACTAGGCAACATCATCAGGGATAGAAGGGAAAGGGGTTTGTGGAGAGGAAGAGGAAGATTTCAGAATCCTTGGTGGTCTCCGAGCTTGGTTATTTCCTTGCAGACGTTTCATGACGCAGCTAGGTAACCTTAGAAGGGAGTGGGGGTTTGTGGAGAGGAGGAGGAGGAGGAGGAGGAGGAGGAGGAGGGGGTGGGATTATTTTAGGATCCCTGGTAGCCTCTGATGTTTTCTTGTAGACATTTCATGACCCAACTAGGTAGCATCATCAAGGCTATAAAGGAGTGGGTCTGGCTCTCTGTTTCTATACTGGTAACCCAACAGCCTTATTAAAAAAGCACCAAATTTATCAAATACTAGCTTTATTTATCTTTCTCACCGAATAAGCCTTATGAAGAAGGATTTATTTATAAAACAAGAGTTATAAACCAACAAAACCAATAGATTATTAGTTAATATTTATTAAATAGTATTTAGTTTATAAGGGATAAGGAATACTTGCCATTCAATATCTGTTATGAGTTATTTAAACCACTATCAAATGTATTAGAGAGAGATATGATTTTTACTGATGTCTATTGATTTTTTTTTTGTATGATTACTACTTTTTACTCTCGTATACCTGTATAATTGTATATTTTAATCTTTTGTATTAAATAAAGTATTTATTTATTTATTTATTTTTAAAAAGCACCAAGCCCACTTCTACCAACACCGACAGGGCAAACCAAATCAAAATTATTTTCTTTTCTTTTTTTCTTTTTTAAAAAGAGGAGTCTCGTGTCCTACCAGCCAACTGCTGGGGTCCCCTCTCCTCACCCCACGAAGGAATGCACCAATTAGAGAAGGGCAAACTTTGTTCAGCGCAAACCAACTTCGTTCTCTCTGGCCCTCAATCCAGCCCACGCCCCACAACGAGGGGGCCTGGCTTCACAGCATCTCTGCAGCTGCAGCTCCGGAGTGCAGTTGGCCCACTAAGATGACAATCCCTGCCCCGGCCTAAATGCACGGTTGCCTCGACGGATCCTACGGAGCCACGAAGCGGCAATGCAGAGACACCAAGTGGGTACAAGCCATTTGCCAGAAGCCTTTGCGGCTTTCTCTCGGGAGGCCCATTAAGCAGGACAAGGCAGCCCCGTGTTAAAAAAAAAAAAAAAAGCCCTTTTTAATTTGCTGTTACAAGCCTGGGTAATGAAAAGCGTGGCGGGCTGGAAATGTCAGGTTATCCATAAAGGAGATGGCTCGACGCAACGCAATTTATCGTTTGTGTCTCAGTGGTGTTGCTGTTGCTCCAGTCTGAATAATAAATGTGTTTCCTCTCCGCCAACAGGGACTCAAAACCCTGCGGGCACAAGGGCAAAGCTCTCCAAAAGCGTAAGAGAAGGTCTCTTCATCTTCCAGCTAGGAAATTATTAATTCGGACAAACAACCAAATGGTAAACGAGAAGCTAATCGGGGAACCCCTGTAAACAAAGAGCAAGCCCCGCTCCCTTCTAGCACTGATGCTGTTACCTAGTTTGGGTCATGAAATGTCTGTAAAAAAATGAACCAAGCTCAGAGAGCATCAAGAACCTCACAGTCCTCCTCCTCCTCTCCAACAAACCCCTTTCCCTTCTAGCACTGAGGATGATACCTAGTTGGGTCATGAAACGTCTCCAAGAAAGCAACCGAGCTCAGAGTGCTGAAGACGACCCCACAGTTGTCATCCTCTTCTTTTTCCACTCTACAACCCCCCCCCTCCTTTCTTAAGCACTGATGATGCTACCTAGCTGGGTCATGAAAGGTCTGCAAGAGAAGAACCAAGCTCAGAGAACATCAGGGACCCCACGGTCCTCCTCCTCCTCCATAACCATTCCCCAAATCCCTCTCCTTGTAGCACGGATGATGTTACCTAGTTGGGTACTGAAATGTCTGCAAGAGAAGAACCAAGCTCAGAGAGGACCGGGGACTCCATAGATGTCATCCTCTTCCTCCTTTCCCCCCTTCCTTTCACCACTGATGATGTTACCTAGTAGGGTACTGAAATGTCTCCAAGAAAACAACCAAACTCGGAGAGCATCAAGGACTTCACAGATATTATCCTCTTTCTCCTCCTCCTCCCAGCACTGATGTTACCTAGGTGGGAATTGAATTATGTCTGCAAAAGAACCAAGCTCAGAGAGTACCAAGGACCACAGTCCTCCTCCTCTACCACCATTCTACAAGCCACTCTCCTTCTAGCGCTGATGATGTTACCTAGTTGGGTAATAAAACATCTCCAAACGCACCACTCCTGAACCCTGAGCTACCCACATTCTCTTCTATTGCTTCTGGCCAAGGCTACTAACTCTCAATCTCAGTTTCCCTTCCCAAAGGAGTTCCCGGTTTCCCACCTTTGTTCAAGAAGGTGCATGGGGGGGGGGGGGGCTCTTACCAGTTTCCATCGTTGCTCGAGGATGGCAGTGATGTCTACAGGGTGGCGCTCAAGGATGTTGACAAAACGGGCTTCGGGGACAGCGATGGCGCAGATGACATGCACCCACCTACAAAACATCCAAGATGGGGCAAAGAAATTGAAATCTTTATTTTTTTTCCCCTGGATATCATAGAGTTGTCCAAAACAAGGGTCGCCAACCTTTTGGACCCTCAGGGACCACCAAACTCATCATTTTAAATCCCGCAGACCAGAGACCCTGGGAAAATCCCCCCAAAAGTCTGCAGGAAAATTCCCCACCCCGTTTTCCTATCAATCGATCATTCTTTATTTGGGATCGCAGGATACCGTCTCTAGCTCCGGTTTTTTTTTTTGGGGGGGGGAGGAGAGGAGAGAGAGACTTTTGGCTTCATGCAAGGAAAGCAGCAGAAGTCTTTCTTTCTCGCCCCCAAACTCCGCCAGAAATGAGTCTTTGCCGGCCCAGCCTCTTGGAGCAGGATGACTTGCAGGGTCCCAAAGACTCATTTCTGGTGGAGTTTGGGGGAGAGAAAGAAAGACTTCTGCTGCTTTCCTTGTGTGCAGCCAAAAGCAGAAGAAGAAAGAAGCAGAAAGAAGCATTGCTTTGGGCGGTGGGGTGCTTTGAGGGGCGCCATTTCTCTGTGGACCACCAAAATTTTCTCACAGATCACCAGTGGTCCCCAGCCCACTGGTTGGCGACCGCTGGTCCAAAGTAGATCAGGTAATCGAAAAGAGAGGGGTAGAAGTGCGACAGGAATCTCTACCGCTGCCCAAAGATCAATTTTGATCTTAAAACAAAGAGATTTAACACCGCCAATCTTACAGGACAAAGTCTAAATTGTTTCGAGTGATATTAAGTGTCAGGATTCCGGCAGTTGCCCCAATTAAACCATGAGCCTCGAGCCAAGCTTCAAACCTTCAAAGGATTTATTAGGAGCGAACATGTCGGCATCACCTGCATGTAGCCGACTCTCATAAAACATTTCTATGCTTCTTTTAGAGTTGCCATTAAGAATTCTAGTCGGCTTGGGAGGTCTTGAGTGGATTACACAGCGCAGGCGATCCTCACAATCGAGCCCTCTTGTTAAGTGAGACATTTGTAGTTTTGTCTCATTTTATGACCCTTTTTTTGCCACAGTTGTTAAGTGCATCTCTGCCATTAGGTTCGTAACCTGGTTATTAAGGGAATCTGGCTTCCACATTGATTCGGCTTGTCAGAACGTTGCAAAAGGGGACAATGTGACCCCAGGATACTGTAACCGTCATAAATATGAGTCAGATGCAAAGCATTTGAATTTTAATCACGATACAGGGGCATGCCACAATGGTCGTGTGAAAAATGGTCATAAGTCACATTTTTTTTCAGTGCTGTTGGGACTTCAGATGGTCACTAAATGAACTGTTGTAAGTCGAGGGCTACCTGTACACATTGGCATATTTCTAAACATTGGAATGTGGCGTATATTGGCACATTCCTAAACATCAGAGGTATTTATTATAAAACGCTGCCCTCTCCACCATTCACCTCCCAATTTTTTAAAAAAATCACATTGCATTCGAATATCACAGAAATCCTAGATATTTTTGGGGTGGGGGTGGGAATTCCCAATACTGACCAGCAAACTATTTCCAAGGGATCTATGAATTACAGGTAGCCCTCAACTTAACAACAGTTCATTTAGTGACCGTTCAAAGTTTACAACAGCACTGAGAAAAATAACTTATGATCGCTCCGGCCATCTTCTGACAAGCCAAGTGGATGGGGAAACCGGATTCACTAACTTAACCATCGCAGAGATTCACTGAACAACTGTGGCTAGAAAGGTCATAAAATGGAGGGCTGACTCTTGTCTACTGCCAAGAGTTCAATCTGGACCGGCTCAAGCTTGACTCAGCCTTCCATCCTTCCGAGGTCGGTAAAATGAGGATCCAGATTGTTGGGGGGACAATAGGCTGACTCCGCAAACCACTTAGAGGGGGCTGTAGATGCACTGTGAAGAAGGATATAAGTATCTATGTGCTATTGCTATCTATCTATCTATCTATCTATCTATCTATCTATCTATCTATCTA